TCCCAGAATTCCCCAGCCAGCATTCTGGGAGTTGAAGTCCACTCATCTTAAAGTGGCCAAGGTTGAGAAACACTGGCTAGATCTTGGGTCTTCAACGCAGTTCTTGCAACCCATAGTAGCAAGATAGGAAGGCAGAAGGGGCTGGATGAAGCAAGCAGGTTCTCAGGAGCAGAACGGCCGAAGGGAGCTGACCAAGGCTCCCATTCTTGGCTGACTCCGTCTGAAAGTTGGCTTTCTGGGAGCATCGGTGGCCCTGGAAGACTAACCGCCTGGGAGACGGGTTGAACGCCTTCCTCAGATGCCACCAGGAGGGAGAAGAAAAAGGGGCCTGCTGCCTCCAGCTGGTTCTTAACAGCCCGCTCTTTGCTCCTTGTTCCTGACGGAGCAAACCCAGCACAGGAAACACAAAGACATCCAAGCCCTTGGCGATGCCAAAGCTTGCAAGTAGGATATCACGTGGAGGGGAGGAATTGAACGTGCCAGCGGGCTCTGACTGGCCCGATGCCTGGAAAGCATTCGGGGCGGCGGGGGGGTGGGCTGTGTGCTAAGGAACCCACGTCGGATGCTTCTTTTGTCAAACCTTTTGGAAAGTTCGAGTGTTTGGGTTCATCTGCGTGAGGAGGTTGAAATCTGGCCTGCCAGGAAACCCTTTCAACTCAAATCTGGAGGAGGGGGGAGGATCTTCCGTCCTTCTTAAGGAAAAGGCACTCTGCGCGCGTCCAGTGGTAGCCTGCTTTTCCTGATGAATTAATCAAAAACACTCGAACGCTGCCCGGGAGCCAGCTGACTTTTTGAGTAGAAATGAACGCCTCTAGACGGGCAGGAAGGGCGCTCCTTCCGTGGGCCGTGCTACAGCTTTGCAGAAAGGGAATGGCTGTTTTCCCACTGATGGGGGAACCTCACCCCGCCCCGGGGCTCCTGGGTCCCAGGTAACGCCTCTCTCCCCCTCCTCCAACTGGTCTAGCAGCAGCCACGGCTAACGGTACGAAAAGTGCTGGGTTGCAAAAGAGATGGGAGGACCCCCCAGGGGTGGATATAGATGACCTTTGGAAGCCTCTAACCTTGTGATTCCCCCATTCTTCAGGCTGTGAGAAAATGGAGCAGACGCTCCTCCTCTTTCTTCTCTTCCTCGCCTTGGCCAAGGAGGCTGCTCAGTTGGAGAACAACAAGATCCCCAGCCTGTGCGCAGGTCAGCCTGGCCTCCCCGGGACCCCCGGAACTCACGGCAACCAAGGTTTGCCCGGCCGGGATGGGCGCGACGGGCGCGACGGAGCTGCAGGCCTGCAAGGAGAAAAGGGCGAAGTGGGCCACCCAGGTGAGAAAATCGGTGTGAAATCAGCCTGCTCTTCTGCTGGGGTAAGGTCCCCCAGGCGCCTAAGGCTTCTGGGGCACTTGGGTGGCCTGGCTTTGTTTTTCCGAGCCAGCGTGCCAGCTTGGTTGGCACCCCGAAAGAACTTCAGCAGGGTCCAGTGCTGGGACCCACAAGCTAAGGGGGGAAACTGATGCGAGAAAAGGTTATTCTTATACTGCTAAGCCCCACATGTCCTGAGGGAATGCCTTTGCATCCAAGGACTGAAAAAGAAATGCAGTGGCAGGTCTCCAATATATGAAAGACATTTCAAGGGAACCGGAGACAGGCACAAATCTACACTGATAGATCCAGAAAAAATATGTAAGTGCCTCCCAGGCAAAGGAAGGAAAAACAAACATGGGAAGAGATTAAAGAACAAATGCAAATCATTCAAAAAATCAATCGTGGCCACTAAATGGAGAGGTGTCTGCAGGGGGAAATCAAAACATCAGGATGGTGTTGAAGTTGAAGCCCCACTCCTTTTTATAAAGAGGTGGGGCTTCAGACATGCAAACACAAGCACAATCTTGACTTTTTTGGCCCCACGGATGAACCTGATTTGCGTTACAGACGCAGGTTAAATAGGTGCTGGAATTGTTATTCAACTTTCATAGTATGTCCCTTCCTTCCTTCCTTCCTTCCTTCCTTCCTTCCTTCCTTCCTTCCTTCCTTCCTTCC